GTGCAGGGACTAGGTCAGCCAGCAGCTGTGCCTGGTGCACACCCCGGACCCTGCCGGGCTCTGCTGGGGGTACAGAAACCTAAGACCTATTTATCCCGGCCCCCGTAGAACTTGTGGTACCGACCATACCCGAGTTACTGGCAGGGCAATATGACAGCAATGCTACATCCAACCAGCTTTTTCTGGGAAGTGGGAGATTCCTTCCAGCGAGCTTTTCAGGAAAATCCCTTTCATTTTTTATCACTTCTGATGGAAATCCTTCCAAAATGCTTTCCATTGTTTCCTGCCTTCTTTAACAGAGTCCACTGAGCATAATTTGACCTTCTCTCAATGGCTGGAGGGCACCGTTATCAGCCGGCGGAGCTGTCATTTATGATGATGCGAAGTATGCTTGCACAACTTCCTGGGGTGCCACTCACCTCAGAGTCTCAGATTTTTACAGTTATTTCCCCTGTTTTTTAGAAGATCACAATCAAATGTGTTGAAGAAGCTGCACCTTCTTCCGTCAGTGGCAGAGGGCTGTGGAGGGGATCGGGTCTATTTGCCCCTAGCCTGGCACGGTCCCAGAGAACTGCAATTTGTAGTGACCATTCCTACGCTGTCTAATGTTGTGGTTTCTCCCTCACTTGTCCTCAGCCGGTGCCAAATTCTTGCTATGCTGTGTGCCTCTAGTAACCCATCCAGCCACCACTTCTACATGCAACCACTGGGAAACGGCATTGTCTATTCACTGACTTTATACTAAATGTGTTTCTGAATCAGCCAGCCCTGAGCTTGGCCACATGGTTCCCTAGATCCAAGGGTCGGCGTCTTGTGCAGCGCTCTTCCTTTATTTTGTCACCTGTGTTCACATTCTTGGCAGGTCTATTTCAGATGGCTGGGCCAGCCAGAAGTCTGATCCTCTGATTAAAAGGGCTGTGAATAAATATCAACCGGCACTTCATCCTGACAAAATAAAGTGCTAAGATGTGCAGTACTATTAGGGAACAGCAGTTTTAGGGAATTGGGGACTTTTTCTTTGCTCACTCACTTCTGTTTTCTTTATTTTGTTTTGCTTTAATATAAATTCCCAGGCATATAAATTTTTCAAAACCTTCTCACATGGTTCTGATGAGCAGCAGCTTTGAAACCATTGGTCTAACATGCCCAGAGCTCTCTGGGAAACACCAGGGGAGTCTGTCTCTCCCATCCTATGTCCGCCACCACTTCAAGTCAGTCATTTTCAAGACCCGCTGGCTACCCTCAAGGTTCCCCCGGGGAGAGGCCAGTGCACACACAGCGCCCGGGAGCTCACGCTTCTGTTCCTTTCAGCCGTGCTCTTCCCTGCTGCCCATCGGCCAAAGAGGTCCTCATCCGTGCCACTGAACCCAGTCCTGCAGACCTCCCTGGAGGAAGTGGAGCTGCTCTACGAGGTAGGCGAGGGGAACGTGGTCGATTCAAGTCACCCAGAAGGTGCTGCACCTTCTCTGTCTTTTTGGAGAAGGAGAGGTGACCCAAGCCCCCAAACATGAGTGGCGTCTGCTGTGGTGGGGAATGGCTTAGGCTAGCTGGTGGAGGTGATAGAATCCCGCTCATTCCAAAGTGAGATATTCCCTGTACCTCTCCTGTTTCCTCTCCCACGTGCTATAATAGGGAACGATGGCGTTAGGAGGTCACTCCAGGCAAACTTAGAGATTAATTTTGGCCCACAGGCACCAATCCCGGCACCCATAGGCACCATCCTGGCGCCCATAGTCACCATCCTGGCACCCAGGCACCGGAGTGTGGCAATATTCCCAGGCAAAGTCTTTGAGACAGGACTCGTCAGGCAATGCCAAGATGTTGTCTGGGTGCAGCCGTGTCTCCAAGGCCCTGCATGCCGTCTGGCTGCCTTGCTAACCCAGCTGGGTTTCTGGAAGCCGAGGGCCACTCCACAGGCCCCCTTCCTCTGCCTCTCAGCCTGCATCACTGCGACCCCACTCCTCCCCTAAACCACAGGGGGAAATTTCCAGAGGCCGCTTGGTTCAGTTCAGTGGTAGGATCCCAGGCTCGAGATCTGAGCTTTAGTCCCGGCTCTGTCACTCATGAGCTATGCAACCTTGCCGAAGCCACCGTTTCTCTCTGGGCCTGACTCTCCTCAACTGTTCGATGAGGGAATCAACTACAGTCTCCAAAATTCCCCTCCAGCTTTGACATCCCCCAACTCCGTGCACTAGGACTGTCTGGTTAAGAAAGAAACAGCTGCTGTAGCCACGCAGCTGAGCCAGGGGGAGATTGCAAATCCTGCCTTGGGAGCAGAATGGAAAATGCGGAGCCTTTGCCAAGTCTTGAACATCGGAGTCATATAACAGACTTGTGTTTTAGGAAGACCACAGACAGTACCACGGAGGGTGGGTTAGAGCGGGGGAAGAGGGAGGCAGAGAGAAGAGTTAGGATGTGGAGTCACTCCATCCCAGAGGTGTTTATTAGTTTCCAACTGTGAGCCTGGCACCATGCAGAGCTGCACATGACGGGCCCAGCCCTACTCTTAGTGGGCAGGTGAGAGACACGGACAATCTCTATGTCCCACTTAGTTCCTAGCACAGTCCTCTGCACCCTTCAAATTCCCAGCTTCTGCTTTAAAATTATCTGAAATAGTCGGTTTATGTCTGAGAAGATCTTTGGTGGGTGGGAGGGAGAAAGGGAAGAGGGATTGATCCAAGACACTAGAAACAACAATTGGTCGCTTAAATACTGGCTTTGTACCAGACATTATATTAGATTTGTCCGTTTTTGTATTATTTAACTCTCCTAACATCCCACTGAAGCAGATGCTGTCACCAATCATTATTACAGAGAAGGAAAGTGAGGCTCAGAGAAGTTAAGTAAGTCATCCAAGGTTACACAGTAAGAGGGAAGCCCGACTGGAACCCAGGTCTCTTGGAGGTCCAGAGCTGTTTCCCCAGCTGCCTCCCTAAGTGAATGCACGAGATACTGAATATAATTGTGTCCTCAGCAATGCCCAGCTTCATGTCTTTGCACACCCCTTGTTTCTCACCAGTTCCTGCTGGCTGAACTTGAGATCAGCCCTGACCTGAAGATCTCCATCAAGGATGAGGAGCTCGCCTCCTTGCGGAAGGCCGCGGACTTCCACACCGTCTGCAACGATGTGATCCCCAAGCGCATCCCAGACATCCGCAGACTCAGCGCCAGCCTCTCCAGCCACCCTGGCGTCCTCAAGAAAGAAGACTTTGAAAGGACAGTGCTGACCCTAGCCTACACGGCCTACCGCACGGCCCTGTCCCAAGGCTATCAGAAGGACATCTGGGCCCAGTCCCTCGTTAGCCTCTTCCATGCCCTGCGGCATGACTTGGTGCGGTCCTCACGTCCTGGAGCACCTCCCTGAGGGACTAGCCCACACCAGGACCTCGGAGCAGGGGCCGGCACACACAGTGGTCCAGAAAGTCTTCATCCTCTACTCCATTTACAGAGACCAGCAACAAAACGTGCACCTCCGACACAGAGTGACAGAGACAAAATAAGAGTAGCCCCGATGCTCTTTTACCCCTTGTAGCTTCCCGGTAGACACATCTGATTCATACCGTAAGGTGACCTGGGCTGGAGCGGTGACCCAAGATGCCTCCAGAGGAGGAATGGTTTCCCTGGTGACATGCAGAAGTCTAAGATATGCGTCAGCACAGAGTGATTGCTACATGCACCCCAGGGTGACAACAGAGCTGAGGGGACATCACAGAGGTTTGGGCATGTCAGGAAGACAAGGGGCAGATTCCTTTGGTCCTGAGGGACCAGGGTGCTGGGTTGAATGAACATTTTTCCAGAGGTTCTATAGTAAATATAAAGTAATCAGAGCTATATCCAAATAAATATATTGTTAGCCATGGATATACTTCTTGACTTTTCCAAAAACTACCAAGAAGAATCAGTTAGAAAATCTGTAATTTTATGACCTATATCTCTTAACTCGTCTTTTATGAAAGCTGGTCTAACACAGAGGAGAAACAGGAAGGAGGCCCACAGAAATGCTAACAGTCCACTCATGATCTCTTTGGAGAAATACTAGGATGCAGAAGGAAGGTATTCATCATCAGAGAAAAATGCAACTTTGCATCCTGATAATTCTCAGGGCCAGAAGATCAATGACTCTCTCTCTTTCTCACTCCCTGATTATACTGCTCTTTCACTCCCTCAAATGCAGGTTCTGATCTATGCTTTTTTGTTCAGTCTTTCTAACATCACATGTTCTCTCTGAGATGGTCACTCTGCTTGTCTTTTTCTTTCTTTTCATTTCAGTCTGTGTCTCTGCTGCTCTATATTTGGGCCCAGTTCTGAATATCTTTGTATTCGTTTCTTGATGCATCTCCAAGTCTCCTCTGGTTGCCTCTTGCTCTGTGTCTGCCTGTCGTATTCTGACTCTCACTGTCTTCCAGTCTCCTCTGGGTATCACTGTCGGAATAAAACAAAGGCCAACATACAGACAGAGTTGAGATCACCCAGGAGCAGAGCCACCTGATAGCCCACCTTCACTATTTGTGCTTTTCCTGGATGTGGGGTGGGGAGTGGAACACAGATGGTCTCTATCTCTAGACATTGTGCAATACCCTGACAGAGTCTTGTATCCTGCCCTGAGATTCCACCCCCTGAGAATAGATACGAGAGCTTTCTTGTACTCAGAATCATCAGCTGGAAAGACTGTCCACCATCTATATCACTGTTGTGATACAGATGGCCGCTCCCAATGGTAGGAGATCTGTGAATGGGAGGATGGGTCCCAGGACCATTGATAGCAATGGTAGTTCATTCACCAACAACAAAAACATTAAAGGTACTTTGTATTTATAAATTGTGGCCTGAATTTATGTGGCAATCAATGACTTAAAAAAATAGAAAAAAAGAAGGATATGACCTTTTTAATGACACGACTTCATTTGCAGTAAATAGATTCTTAAATACTATTTTAATCTGAATGCATATTAATTTTTTACCCACAAAAAATGTTATAACAGTGACTTCATTGACATACAGAATCAAATATTGTGCTCACCACCATCACCACCACCACCCCAAAAACCTTACTCTTTGCCTAATGAGTGGAAAAGGCAGGCCAGACAGACTCTCCCATTTGGTCTCATTAGTGCCACAATCTACACAACCACAGTGACAACTGGGTCATATTTTGTCATATTGACTTACAGAATAATTTGGAAGTATGACGTTTATAGTGGAAACTTGCCCATGACTTATGGAACCATTTTGCCATCTTGATTCTGCTTAGAAATTTTAGGATCTAAAAACTCTGACAGTTACCTCTGTAGATGGCACCCCTGCGACCATCTCCAGGGCCACTCGAGAGACACTGACAAACAACTAAGTGCTAAGACTTTCATCGCTCTGTCATCTCACCTCAAATCTAATGAGTCAGTCAAAAAGTATTTCTGCGGGTAAACGGGTCCAAAATTAAATGCTCAATAAATGATTTTGCACAACACTCCTTACTTTCCTAATCCTTTGTAATGTAATGTCTTACATTTTTTTTTTCTATTGTGGTAAAAAAGCACATAACCCAAAATATACCCTCTGAACCATTTTTAGGCGTACAGTACAGCAGTGTTAATTCTATGCACATTGTTGTGCAACAGACCTCTGGAACTTTCCTATCTTGTAAAACTGAAACTCTGTACCCATTGGACAACTCCCCTTTGCTTCTTCCGCCAGCCCTTGGCGACATCACTCTACTTTCTGTTTTTCAAGAGTTTGACTGCTTTAGATACCTCGTAAAAGTGGAATCTGTCTTACATTTCTTGAACATTGTATTCTGGACAGTGTTTTTCTTCATCTGAAAAATGGATAGAGTCCCAAGGAGAACTACTGGTCTTACTGTGTCATTCGCCTTACCTAATTTTATTTAACAATATTCATCTGTGGTGGAATAAAAATGACGGAATTACTAAACTCACTGGAACCTTTGTTATCGCAGATTATCTCACCAAGGAATTTGAAGTGGTTCATGGGTTTAACAGTGGATGTTAACGTCAACAGCTGTTTATTATTACCCAGTTTCTTTAATGTTTGCAACCAAAACATCACACATGTGGAATTGTTCATTTTGAGTTTTAAAATCATTACAAAAAATGAGGCTAGAATGTAGTAAATACAGTAGCTTTTAACATGCATTTAAAGAGATGAGTTATCCTCGGCCATCCAAGATAATTTCAAAGGGGACCTGGGCTATCCACAGTTGCACCTGCCTTAGAAGTCAAGAAGAACTGGTTTTCTGGGTCACTTTACCCTTAGCCTGGGGACGATTTCCAAATGGTATAGCTGCAGACCACGGAACGCCATTCCTCGCCTTCTGAGAATTCAAGAAAACATGGGTTTTATAACCCCTTGACTCTGCTCAGCATCTCCCAAAGTAATGTTTCCAAGGACCACCACTTATAGAATATTTGGGCTTTTCTTTTTCTTTTCTTTCTTGCCCCAAATCCACATGTTCTTTCTGAGAAAAGAGCTTCTCCCGATCTGTAAGGAGGAGAAATTCCCGAATCCAACTGTTGCTAAGACCTTGTTCCCGAACTTGTCAACTTCTTCCTTGCCTCCCACCTCCCCTTACGTACCAACCAAAGGAGGCCTTCTGCTTCCTTTTTGGCAAATAGCCTCAGAGAGGAGCATTTGAGCACCTACTCTAGACAGAAAGACCACTGACATCCGAGGTCTAAGGGCCTCTGAAATGAGACTGACATCTAGATTTTGCCAGAGAGGCAGCTACCCTTCTCATTCTTCCTGAAAGGTCTGGGGTCTTTCTTCCAGACTCATACCCACTGCTGGCTTAGACCCTTTGTAGTCCCGCAGGCGCTGAAGCAAACGAGCTTCACTAGCAGGGAAATCTGAAAGGCTCAATTTTGTACACTCTGGGGCAAATTTCTGCCAAATTAATATTGCATTTTCTCCCTGACGCTGGACGCGTCATCTTCCTGCGGACTAGGTCAGCGAGTGGCCCTCTCAGCGAAAGCTGTGTCTTATGCTCTGAAACAATACAGCAGTGCTTGCGGAACTGAGATTATGTTTACCATGATGCTCATCACTCCAGCCCCTAGGATGTTTGAGAAACTGAAAAATAAGCTTTGCAAGCTGCCTGGGTTCTGCAAAATCAGCAGGCCCCTGCTGTGACCAATCCAGGACTCTCTTTGGAAGAGATATTGGCTCATTCTTTTCAACTTGCTGATTGGCTTTGAGGAGTGGCCGGAGCTCCTGCCTCCCACCTGCTTCCCATTGGTGGATGAAAGTTAAAGGTGGGCCTCCTGCAAGTTGCCGTCCTGTTACAAAAAGGAATGTCTTGGGTTTTTTTGTTTTTTCTTTTTTCTGCTTTGGAGGTCCAGGCTCAAGGCAAATTATAAGTAGGAAACCAATCTGAAGGAAAGAAATTTGAACCGAGTTAAGGTATCAGGTCCCGAGAGAGACGAACACCCCATCTGAAGTCTGCAGGTGCCTCTGACAAACTCAGAGGCTTGTTTTAAGGGAAGGGCTACTAGATTTTTACCAACAGCAAGCACAGGTAGGAGATGAAACAGGTACTCCCCAAAACAGGCCATCCGAGGGAGGAAAAATGATGGAGAGCACGATATGCTCTCTGTATTTTTAATTTTTTAAAGCTTTTAAATGATTTCTTCAAAGCCGAACAGCAGCAGCAAAGGTGTCGTTTTAATTGGTTAAGAGGGCTTTGGCTGACACCTGGAATGAATTTACTCTATTACTGATCGAGCAGAGAGGGGACCACTATGCCCCCGTTTACAATCCTTTCCCAGTTCCTTTTTGCTGGTCATAAAACTATGCTCATCAATCCCACCTAACGCGGGAGGCCAGGAGCCCAGCCTTCAGTGGAAACCGGGGGGTATAACTGCCCTCCCATTCTGCCCCAAGACGAAAGAGGACTCTTGGAAGCCAAGAGAGGTTTAAGAAGTCTTTCTGGACAGAGCGGTGCGTAGCGAGGAGCACAGGCGTCCCCGCAGAGGGCCGAGGGCGAGCTGGAGAGCAGGTAGGGCCACCATGGGGCTGCTGCACGGCCTGCTGCGAGCCCGGAAGCTGCTGCTGGTCATCTGCGTCCCGCTCCTTCTGCTGCCTCTGCCCGTCCTGCACCCCAGCAGCGTGAGTACTGACCTGTCCCCCCACGCGCACCTGCGGGCCGGGGACCAGGCGGGAGGGCCAGGAGGGAGGGCGGGGGAGGCCATGGGAGGCTCCTACCGTCCCTAACGGTGGCTTTTTGTGGGTTGGAACAAATGCAAGTGTTTCTCTGGAGGAAACGGACGTACCTTCTTCCTCCTAAAAGCTGGCATTTTCACCCCTCCAGCTCAGCCCCAGTTCCCCAACCCTACGGCCCCCAGCCGGGAGTCAGCACAGGGCAGGGCCGTGGCTGCCGGGACTGCTGGGCGCCGCCCGGAGCAGGGGCCCTGGGGACAGGCTGGTGCGCCTGTATTTGTGGGGAGTCAACATGTGACCATCGTTATCTGAGAGCAACTGGAGACACAGGAAGAGCCCCCAGGAATGGCGCGGAGGAGAAGGCTGGGGGGGGGGGGCACGTGGAGCCACCCCAGGGTCTGCGCTGGGTCTTGGAGGACTCTAGTAACCTCTTTTATTCCCTTAAGTGTCCTGTGAACTTTAGGGAAGGAACCTGTAAGTTGAAAGCAGAGTTCGTCATGTTCCCATGTGTGTGGCCTTGAATTACTCGCGTCCTCTGTGCTTTCTTCTCTGCGCTCCTGAAGGACAGACATAAAATGACGCGATAAAAAAGAAATCGGAGTCCCCCATACTCTAGACGGGGACCTAATTCCCTTCCGCGCTTGTGTGGGCTCTGGATCCGCGTTGGGCTCCCCTCTCTTCCCTTCCCCTCTCTGTTCTGCTCCTGTCTGTGGCTTCCCTCCTTCCCCAGCTGGCACTGACCTTGAGATTTTAGGAAAAACAAGCTAAGACAAGTTAATTGTGTTTGTGGAAGGGGAGCGGCGTCTTCCACTTGGCTCCTTGAGTAACTTGGTAACCAAGATTAAGTTAAAAAGTTAAATAGTGGGGATTAGGATGGTTCTTGAAAACAAACTGGCTTAAATCTTTTATAAAATAAATACCCCAGCGTGCCAGGGAGACGCTGATTAAAACTGGGCTGGGATTAGCAGACAGTGATTGCTGCTGACATTTTTCCTGAGCCGAAAGCTAGTTGATTTCCTGCTTTGTCCAAATGGGCCTGATTTTTTTTTTCTTTTCTTTTCATGGCTTTTGTTTTTTTAACTCAATGTCAGGTTGATTTAAGGGAATGCTACCAAAAGACACATTACTTTCCTCTCCATAGCAGTATCAGGAACCTCATGTCTCCCCCTTAGGTCAGCTCCATTTTGGGGGGACCTTGGCCAGTGTCCACAGGAGGCACAAACCAGATGCCCAGCACATATTGTGTCTCTCACCCATCCTTCACCCCGGCATCAAACTTTTAGATTCTGATATTTAATCCTTAAAATTCCAAGATGGATTTGCTTGCTCTGGGCTGGAGTTGAGGGAAGTGACTGGCTACCTGGGGAGGAGCTCCCGGCCTCCAGCTTTGATGGTTCTTCAAAGTGACAGCCACAACTACATGTAGGGGTCAGAACGACCTTCCCCTTTTTCTTGCCCAGCTCTCTAAAACCAAAGGTCCAGACTCTGTTTATCATATTACGGAAGAAGAGGGTACAAGAGGGGGTGTCCTCGACTAAGCCCTTCGTCAGTGTCCCCAGGGAGGTAAAAGTTGCCCTCAAACCTCCCAAGTTAAATTTTTAAAAAGGCCTCCCAGTCATTTGTGATAGCAAATAAACAGACTTCAAGCCCCTTCCAGTGAAGTTGGAGTCGCTAGGATATCATGGGGATGGGCAA